AAAGCGCCAAGGCCATGTACGAGAGCGCTATCGCCATAAATCCTTCGCACGTCAAGGCTCTCTATGCTCTGGTAAGGTGTCTCGTTTTTTTATTGTGAACACCTGATTTTGTTGTAAAAAAAACTGGTTCTCCGTCTTGTTTCCTCCCAAATCACGCGTTTTTAGGCAGTTGGATGATGCGTAACTCGGGTAATGTGCGACCAGTTCAAATGCATCGACCGAGCCGCCCAATTAATTACTTTCTGTTGAATGAAAAAAACAGAAGAAGTTTTGAAAGTCGGGCATAAAAACTTTCTTAAGGAGTGTCGAAAACGCAAAAGGCATATTAAATGCGTAACATGACGTGTAAGGAGCACACAAACTTTGTCCAGGCAAATAACTGAGTAAATACAGCGCACGCGCAAGGACTTCTTGGAAAGGCCTTTTTAGGTACTCGTTGTTTCAATATCCTCCAAGAATTTGTGCACTATGTAGTAGTACACGGCTTCCAGAATGATATTTTGAGAATTCTGTTTTTGCGTTATTCGAGATGTGATCAACCAAGCACTCCCGGAGTTGGCTTCAGGATTCACTTTTGCTTAAACAGTATTTGCCGAGTAAATTACAATGCTGCTACACCAGATGCACCTAGTTTGCGAAAATTCAGAGCACGCAAAGTGGGGCGCCACGCCATGGAGTCACTACAGGCGATCATTCAGTCATTAATCAGTCTGGTAAATCGCAAGATTAGTAAGCTTCTAACAACTCAACCTACCTAGCATTCCTTTCTATCTGACCACACTTCTCCTACTCTCCCCTTCGCCGTTTACGTCTGGTTTGTTAAACACACTCTGGAGCAACTTTGCCTATTGTAGCTCACCAGTTGCGAAGTTTTACCGCCCACCCGAATGTAAACGCGTATAGAATTCTCGAGGTAGGTGCAACACTTGACCAGTCTGACCCCCCACACGGATACTGCACTGGTTCTTCGGACCAATGTAGTTTCATCCCCGCACTACATCCGTCATCTCTACGCCCTTCAGCTAAATTTATACCACCATAGAGCCCGGCACACCTAGGCACTGTCACTTCGCACTAATTCGGCAGTATTTCTCTCCTGACGGGGTTCCTAACAGTCTCATTCTCCGAATCTTATTGTACGCCTAACCCTCCCCCCCTCCCTCTTCACCCGTATTCAAAGGCCCGGATACTGCGGGACAGCAAACAGTACATATTGGCTGAGCAAGTGCTTCGAGACGCGTTGGCGGTGGACTCCACCAACAGTCGTGTTTGGTGCCTCCTAGGCGAAGTACTCTCCAGCTCAAGCACCAATGATCCAGACTCAAAAGCTACCGCCACAACAGCTTTCCTCAGCGCCGTTGAATTAGAACAGAGCGAACCCGTCGAGCCCTTCCATACCCTACGTCTCGGCGTCTACTGCAGCTGACTGTGATACTCCTCTGTCTGTCTGCCGCCCCAATGCAACTTTTGTTGCTGTGATTTTTCCCATATTCTGTCTGAACACTCGACCTTATTTGCTGCTTTTTACTATCATCACCATGGTTGCTCGTAAACCAGTCTGTTCCCCCTCCCTATGAGTTCATCAAAGATAAGAACATTTAGTACTACTACCATCCATTTTCCAGATACTGCATAAAAGTGCGTGACCCAGGCAGAAACAGGAGAGACATTCGCTTTATTAAGACAGGAATTGCAGCGTTTGAGATATGGAAAAAAGGTTATAGCTTCTAAAAGCCGACTTTTCCGAGTTTTTCGTCTGTTTTCGGATCGGCAGTGAGCCTTTGGACTTGTACAATCGCAGAGTTGATTTGGTTCTGAAGTTGACGAAGCTCTGAGCAGTGCATCAGTCTAAGTGCCACAGCAGCTGCGTGTACTTGTGGGTCGGTGACGTCGAAACCCAGACAGACCTCCTTCTCCGTTAACATGTCGATCTAAAATTATCAAAAATCTCCCTGTGAGTTATTGTTCTATGGCCGTGTAGTCATCTTATATGCTGACTGTGAACAAGAGACGAAAAAGGCCTGCAGTTCATTAGCTTTTTTAACTCTATAACGGCAAACGGGATGGCATTGTTATGTTTACCTGCCCAGTGGA